CAAGTATTTTTACTTTACATAATCTTACACTTTGTGAAAACTCGATTATTCACAATCAGTTCTTGTTTAGTAAATCAGTCTCAAAACAAGATCAAAAAGACTTTTTGGCTGATATAAGGTTTTAAAACTTGGTTAGATGGACAGTTTTGCAGTGTGTCAGATGTGTAAAATTGAGCATCTCATAAAGCTACTTCCTGTGTGTCTTCACCTTAGTCTTTTTATTGACAAATGTAGTTTTATTGGTATTGGGAGCGGCTGTGGCAGAGTGGTTGGTGGAGTCCTCCTGCAAGGCCTGAGTCACACTACAAGATAATCAGGCCGATGTTTGCCCTTCTGACAATCTTAAGGAAGTCCAGATTATCGTGATGGATCTAAAGATAATCTGAGCAGATATTCCTGCCGTGGGTGGTGAGTTAAGAGTGATCTAGTCGGCTCGGAAGGACGTCGGGACCGCTCCGACCTCAAATCGGAGATATTCACCATGTTTGATTTTTTGGCCCGATATCACAGTGTGTGTAGTGTTCACCCGAGCTCTCAGCCTGTTGAATGAGACGTGTAGCCAATCAGAAAGTGAGGTGACGTAAACACGGAGGGGATTCCAAATACAGAAGACAAAAAAAAAACTGTCATGACTCAGCAGAAAGTCTGCTGGATGTGAAAAGACTTATGGAATTGTTTTTCCTCTGGTAAAAATAGTCCACAAACGATCAACATTGTTTCTTCCGTTTTGCAAATGTTTATTTACTCTGAACTCACGTCTCTCTGGAGGTCACGTGAGATTTTTCCTTGGACATCTGAATTCTCGCGTGATTTCAGGAAGTCTCGCGTGATTTAAAATCAGACAGTTCATGATCTTTTCGTGTGTGGTGTGTTGTCTCTAGCTGTGTGTCTGTACACCACACACTGTAGGACCAAACCTGGTAGATCCATGTTTTTTTATCCTCACGTGTGGGCTCTATCAGTCTTTGAAAATCAGCCGACTGGTTTAAAATCTTGTAGTGTAACTCAGCCTTAACCGGTAGGTTGCTGGTTCGATCCCCCATTCCATCGGTCTCAGTTGTTGTGTCCTTGGACAAGACACATCACCTGCCTCTCCTACTGAGGATGGTCAGAGGGCCCGGTGGCGCCGTGGCAGCCCTGCCTCTGTCATTGTGCCCCAGGCTGCAGCTTACCACCATCAGTGTGTGAAAGTTTGAAGTGTAAAACGCTTTGGGGTCCAAATGGACTTGATAAGGTTCTATATAAGTTCAGTCCACTTACCTTTCAATGTTGCCGGGTGTCAGAATGACAGCAGAGCAGAGATTCTTAACCTATGGGCCGCGGCCCACAATTGGGCCGTGAACGCTACCTTGAGGGCCTCAAAACTTTGGGCCGCAGAGGGCCGTGGGACAGCATTGATTTTAAATAAGGTGTAATACACTTTCTCACCACTAGTAGCAGTAGTGCACCACTCAGATGTTTAACAACTTTTTAATATGTAGAAGAAGAACCTTAGAAACCTGCTGAGAATGGAAACTTATTTTAAAGAGTAACTTACCCCAAAATTAACTTTTTTTTAGCCGATAAACTGTCTAGAATGTGTCTAAAATGTTATATAGTAC